CCATTTGTTTTATTTCTTATTCCTGTGAAGTGTTTAAGTACTTGTGTATGGATTCTTGTAAACCAAAGGTAACAATGTTTTAACTGTACTATTATCCAATATTTTTCCAACAATTTGATTTTTTTTACCATAAAAGAAGCTATTCTTGATGTTTTCTCTTATTGTACTAAAATATATATAACATGGAATTTACCATTTTAACATTTTTTGAGTATACAACTTGGTAGTATTAAGTACATTCACAATGTTGTGTAACTGTCACCACTATGTCAAAAACATTTATTTTTAATTGGCAGAGGGTGCATGAGCTCTCTCAGAGAGAGACAGACAGGAAGAAGAAGAAAGCATCCTCAGTGAGACATGGCCACACCACACAGTCCCTTCTCCATTTCTTCATCCTATACGGCATTTGGCATACGCAAGCCTGATATATTTTTCAAGCTACCAAGTATAAGTTTTGAACCATGTGGTGGCCTTGTGGAACCCAGCTCCCTTAACCACTAGGTCCTATTCAAAACTTTCTAATCACCCAAAACAAAAACTCCATAACAATTAAGCAGTAACTTTCTATCCCTTCTTCCCCTCAGCCTCGAGCAACCTCTATCTACTTTCTATCTCTAAAGACTTGTCTATTCTATAAGCCTCATATAAGTGGGATTATATAACATTTGTTCTATTTCACTTAACATAATGTCTTCAAGTCTTATTCATGTTATAGCATGTATTAGAACATCATTCCTTTTCATGCCTGAATAATATTCCGTTACAAGTACTCAAATACCATACTTTGTTTATCCATTAATCTGTTGGAAGGCACTTGAATAGTTCCCATTATTTTGGCTGCTGTGAATAAGGAGACTATGAACACTAGCATGCAAATAGCTGTCTGAGATCCTTTTTTTGACTTTTTGTTTTTGGAGGACATATTTAAGATTGGAATTGCTGGCTCATATGGTACTTCTTAATTTCTTAAGGAATAGCCAAACTTTTTCCCATAGCAGCTATACATTTTACACTCCCACGAGCCCACAAGCAGTAATGCACAGGATGGTTTTACTTTCTGTACATCCTTGATGGGGTTTTCTGGTTTCTGGGTTTTTTTTTTGTTGTTGTTTATTAGTTTGTTTTGCTTATAGCCATCAAAGTGGATATGATGTTGTATCAAATTATCAGTTTGATTTGCCTCTCCCTAATAACTAATAATGTTGAGCATGTGTTTCTTGGCCATTACATCTTCTATTCAAATGTCTATTCAAGTGCTTTGTGTGGTTGTGAATCGTAGGAATTATATATATATACAGATAGTGATACTTATCAGATATATAGTTAGTAAATATTTTATTCTATTTTTTGGATTTCCCCCCTCTTTGTAGTCCTTTAATGTACAAAAAATTTTTGTTTTGAATAAGTCCAATTTAATGGATTTTTTTTTATTAATTGTTATTTTGGTGTCATATCACTGCAGAAAACAATGTCACAAAGATTTCTCCTAAGTTTTCTAAGAGTTTTATAATTTTAGCTTATAAGTTTAGTTCTTTAATCCATTGTGAGTTAATTTTTGTATATGGGCTTCCACATAGATGGTTTCTGTCATAATTTTTTTCTCAGGCAAAGGGGCCATACTTGGTATATTTTGTAATTTTTTGTTTAAAGCTAGACATCCTGAGCATGATAATGTGGCAATTGTGGAAATCCGATTCTCCTAATTCACAGAGATTATTGATGTGGGTTTGTTGAGGGCTGGGGATATACAATTGAGACTTTTCCAAATGACTTTTATACAGTGTGTATTTCTTGTATGTAATCACTGAAGTTTCTGTTTTATTATGTTGTGATCAGCTAAGAATAATAGCCTCTCTCTTCATCCAACATTGCCCTAGCTGTCCTAAGTGTCATCAGGTTCCAGAATTCTGAAATAGTTGATTCTAGTCACTATTTCAGTTCAATGGCAGTTTTGGTGGAGGGTACAACTCCAAGAGACTTACACTCCATTTTTGAGTGACACTCCCTCTAGTCTTAGACTTTTTAAATCAATGACATTTATAAACATTTTCCTTATGGCTTCTGGATTTTATATTTTGATTAGGAATTTTTTAGCCACATTGAAATTATTCAAAATGAACAAACAAAAACTCTAACAAATAAACAATATCACAAAGCTTTCTTTTAAATAAATTTGTGTAAGCGTATGTTCTCATTTTCAAACTTTAAGAAAATTTTATATTTCACCTTTGACACATACCCCCTGAATATGTTCTGGTATAGAGCATGAGAAGGCTTCTGCCTCTTCCATGCCTTGCTTTATGTCTTGTCTCTGTTGTTCTCATATAGCATCTCATTCCCATCTTATCTGCCAGAAAGACATGTGGATAACAAAAACAATCCATTATTCTTTTTTTTTTTTGGAGAGGTTTTCACTATAGGGCGCATGCGCTCGCCAGACAGACAGAGAGAGACATAGAGACAGAAAGCGAGAAATCACCTCCCAGGGGGGATGGTCACACTGCAATCCCTTCTCCTCCATTCTCCTCTTGGGATCTTGGGCACACATGCACACATGCCCGGGCATGAGTTTTAAGCCACTGGGTCCAAGACACGAACCGCGGTAGACTACGTGGGAGTCCAGCGACATAGCCATTACGCTAACTGCTGGTTCCCGCACAATCCATTATTCTTTAAGACTAAGCTAAAATGGCATCACCTCTAGACATAACAATCAGGAGGCATACCTTAGAAAAATTTCAGACACTACAGTACAGGCAGGCAGATAAGCAGTTGGTCTGGTAGGAGCTGAAGGAGACCTCATTGTAAGATCTTAGTACACCAGGGGATAAGAGGGATCAGAGGGAACAATGAACATGATCCTGATTTTATGTGAAGGGATTTTGCTAGATATGGAGGCTAAGTCAGGGAATGGTGTGTGCAAGGTGAGCTCAGTTAGAAAGTGCTGAGTGGGAGTGCCATGAGACAGTAAGATAGAGATGCCAGGAGGTGGAGAGCCAGGCAAGAGTGAAGCTTGGGGTGGGTTCAGGGAAAATAACATATGCCTTTCAGGGCCACCAGTATAGAGGGAATTGTTAGAGCAAGGGAAGGATCCATGAAGGAATACAACATAGACAGCAAAAGGGGCAAACCTTCAGTGTCTTCCCTTTCCCCTCCCCAATTACCTCAATTACCATGAATGGTCTTTCTTGCTAGACTAGTGGTTTTCAACTAGAGTAAGCACTTATACTCCAGGGGATGTTTGGCAATTTCTGGAGACATTTTTGGTTATCACAACTGGGAAGATATACTGCTGCAGGCATCTAGTAGAGACTAGGGATGCACTTAATATCCTACAGTGCATAAAACGTGAATGTTTCAAATATCCCACAATACACAGCACAGTCCCCACAGCAAAGATGCCAGCAGTCCTAGGGTTGAGAACCCCTGATTGAGAGCCTTAGACCCATGTCTTGGACTCTGATTCCTCCATCTTCTCTAGACTGAAGTTCTAAAAACCCCTCCCCCTAACACTGGCCTATGAAAAACCCTGAAGCCTGAACTTGCCTCATTTTTGAAAGAGAGTCACTACCTTTTCTCTGGTGGAGGCTCTTTACAAAGTGTGTGTGACCTTGTCAGAAGATGGAAATTTGACTCACCTACAGGTAGTTCTTACATAGGAAGCATTCAGTGGTTCAATAGACCAAGTGGGCAATGGTGTGACTCTGTGTGTGTGCAGGATGTGGTGCAGATGGGCAGTCAGTGGGAGGAGGCCACTAAACATAAGATGAAATGTGGCTAAGAAGAGCCCAGAGCTTCGAGAACTTGACCCTCTCATCAACAGCTCTGCAGTGTACACTGACAGCAAACCTATGAATAAATTTAAATTGAGAGCTGGTAACAGAGGCATTATTAGAATTCCAAACACAATGCATATGGAGAATTGTCAGGTTTTAGAAAAAGAAAAGGTGTGGAGGGCTTTGTGATTGTTTAAATTGATGTCATTTTCCATAAACTCCACATTCATTATGAGCACCATTCTCGAATATTGCAGAGCCTCCAAAGAAAGAAGTGAGAGGCTTAGCAGTCACAGGGAGGGTGGTAGCCCAGGTGGGCACAGTGGGAATGTGGAGGGACACTCTGCCAAGTTCAGCCCAGCCCCTTCACTGCCACCCACAATGTGATAAGCTTAATGAGCAAGTCATTTCTGAGGGATGGTAAACACAGAATGAGAAACAGGGTGGGAAGGCTTTTGTGATGCTCAGGAGCATTTAGAAATCATTCAGCCTGTCAGGGCAAAAATGATAATGCTCTAGAACCATCTGTGTACTCATTTTTCCTCTTTTCCTTTTGGAGACCAAGATGAAACACCAACGCACCTTTTCACTTTTTCATTATGAAAGCTCATCAAACATTTACTGGGTTGGCTTCTTCACGATGGAAATAGGGAACTGAGTCTCCAAAATAATTTGGACTTTTTGAACTAGATGTGCTCAGTGGTGAAGTCCACACTGCATGCAAGAAAAAATCTGATTAGAGACCAAGGGAAGCTAAAATCAGGACCAAAAGGAAACCTTGTTGATAACCCTTTCCTTAGAACAGCTGGCAAAGAAGGCAGCCTAGGTCTAGATTTCTGATTCACTCACAAAATGATGAAGACAGACATGAAATAGAAGGTGTATTCCAGGGCTTTCATCCTGAGGCATGAGGGGAGTGATAGGTGGATGCTTTCTTTAAAATCTCCATCCTCCAGTCCCTCTGGAAGGTTCAGCAACTCCTAAATGACAGGGGCAAAATATGACCTCTTAACAGAATAGCAAAATCAGAATTTTTTTCTGTTTGAATTGTAAAAGAATGTGTACCAAGAAAAAAATTAGTTATAGGACATGACGTCCACCTTTAAGAGAAATCTATTTTCTTAATTTCCAGAAAAGTCCACTTGAAGGTGAATGCTGACTTGTGGTTCACTTAAGCACTGAGATGACACTCCAGCAGGATAAACTTGATTTTTCTTTCAGCTGACAGCGATGGATCCAGTTCTGAAGATGGCAGGGAAGACCAAAACGTGAAGACCAAGAGGAATCGGTAAGTGATGTCCCTTCATAGTGTGTCTTTCCTGAATGGATGCTTAGATGGTATGGAAAGAACAACATCATGTTGACTATATTGATTGCATCGATCTTATTCAAACACTAAACAGATGGCAAAAGGGTTCAGCAATTGCCTTGAGCACCCTGCAGAAGCAATTATCTCAGAGGCTCTGGGCATTTCAGACACTGTGGGCAATGTTTGCCTTCCCCCAACCAGCCCCAGGTACCCACATGCTGTCTGTGCTTTCAGAGCCCTCTAGGAGCAGTGAAGGTAGTCAATGGTGCCATGTGCTGGGATAGGGCAGCTTTGAATTGGTGTCTAGCTCTGTGCCTTGCTTGCTTGGTGACTTTGGGTAAAATAACTCAACTCTGAGCTCAAATTTATCACCTATAAAATGTGATTACAACACAAGCTTGTGGTATGGTGATTATGGTGGATGGACCCCACACAGCCAACTAGGAAGTTAGAGTCTCAGATTTGGTGGCTTGAGAAACATGCTGGGTATTATGGTGTGTGTGCCCAAAATCCCAAAAAGAAGAAGAAATGGAAGAGAAAGGATTGCAGTGTGACGGTTCCCTATGCAGGGAAGGGGAATCCTCACTTTCCTTCTCTCTCTCTCTCTCTCTCTCTCTTTGGTGACTGTACATGCCCTCTGGCAATTTTTTTTAAGTAATTGTAGAAGTCTTACTGGCAGAATGAGGTGGCCCCTAGATAGAATGAAGCCTGTGTAACCACATGTTTTACTCAGCAAAAGGGAAACTCTCCCTTAAAGTAGATTTCTTACTGTTTGATTGTGGTGGTTACATCATACAACTCCTCTTTTCTTTCAAGCTAGAGGACGATTCTTACCCGTTTAAACATTTCTGTAAGGCCATTAGTCTGCCTTTCCTTCCACACCGAGTTTCATAGAAAGAGAAAATGAAAGGAAGGAATGATGTGCCTGCTCCAAGCTCTCATCTTTGGCAGAGAAAAGAGAAACTTCCCAATCAATGAGGGAAGTTTCACAGGCCACTTCTTGAGCTAGGCTATTGCTGGCCCTGGGTGGTGCCTGGATGGATATTTCATCAGAACCTGGCTCTCACCACAGACCAGCAGGTACATTCACTCATGCACCAGGTTGCTATATCAGCCAGTCCCATGGGACATTTAAACCTATGACTGGAATCCAAATACCATGCTTGAAAATGTTAGCCTTGTGTATATTTTCTCTTAAAAAATAAATAAATATGCCTAGGAGAAGTAAAACTTTCACAATAACAAATATTAGCCTAAATGAAGGAAAAGTGAAATCTTGACTCAGAACATTTGCCCCTTTCCCTTCTTGAGTCCTTCATTCTGCAGCATTCTAGTAAAGGTTGGGGGTAGTAGGAGTGGGTACAAGCAAGGCAGAGGATACAGACAGCCAGGGAGCTTCAGGGTAGACTTCTACCTGGTGGAAACCCATGGAGCCACAAACCTGCAGAATCAGATGTGAGTGCTTGTCTCCAAAATAATTTGGACTTTTTGAACTAGATGTGCTCAGTGGTGAAGTCCACACTGCATGCAAGAAAAAATCTGATTAGAGACCAAGGGAAGCTAAAATCAGGACCAAAAGGAAACCTTGTTGATAACCCTTTCCTTAGAACAGCTGGCAAAGAAGGCAGCCTAGGTCTAGATTTCTGATTCACTCACAAAATGATGAAGACAGACATGAAATAGAAGGTGTATTCCAGGGCTTTCATCCTGAGGCATGAGGGGAGTGATAGGTGGATGCTTTCTTTAAAATCTCCATCCTCCAGTCCCTCTGGAAGGTTCAGCAACTCCTAAATGACAGGGGCAAAATATGACCTCTTAACAGAATAGCAAAATCAGAATTTTTTTCTGTTTGAATTGTAAAAGAATGTGTACCAAGAAAAAAATTAGTTATAGGACATGACGTCCACCTTTAAGAGAAATCTATTTTCTTAATTTCCAGAAAAGTCCACTTGAAGGTGAATGCTGACTTGTGGTTCACTTAAGCACTGAGATGACACTCCAGCAGGATAAACTTGATTTTTCTTTCAGCTGACAGCGATGGATCCAGTTCTGAAGATGGCAGGGAAGACCAAAACGTGAAGACCAAGAGGAATCGGTAAGTGATGTCCCTTCATAGTGTGTCTTTCCTGAATGGATGCTTAGATGGTATGGAAAGAACAACATCATGTTGACTCTATTGATTGCATCGATCTTATTCAAACACTAAACAGATGGCAAAAGGGTTCAGCAATTGCCTTGAGCACCCTGCAGAAGCAATTATCTCAGAGGCTCTGGGCATTTCAGACACTGTGGGCAATGTTTGCCTTCCCCCAACCAGCCCCAGGTACCCACATGCTGTCTGTGCTTTCAGAGCCCTCTAGGAGCAGTGAAGGTAGTCAATGGTGCCATGTGCTGGGATAGGGCAGCTTTGAATTGGTGTCTAGCTCTGTGCCTTGCTTGCTTGGTGACTTTGGGTAAAATAACTCAACTCTGAGCTCAAATTTATCACCTATAAAATGTGATTACAACACAAGCTTGTGGTATGGTGATTATGGTGGATGGACCCCACACAGCCAACTAGGAAGTTAGAGTCTCAGATTTGGTGGCTTGAGAAACATGCTGGGTATTATGGTGTGTGTGCCCAAAATCCCAAAAAGAAGAAGAAATGGAAGAGAAAGGATTGCAGTGTGACGGTTCCCTATGCAGGGAAGGGGAATCCTCACTTTCCTTCTCTCTCTCTCTCTCTCTCTCTCTTTGGTGACTGTACATGCCCTCTGGCAATTTTTTTTAAGTAATTGTAGAAGTCTTACTGGCAGAATGAGGTGGCCCCTAGATAGAATGAAGCCTGTGTAACCACATGTTTTACTCAGCAAAAGGGAAACTCTCCCTTAAAGTAGATTTCTTACTGTTTGATTGTGGTGGTTACATCATACAACTCCTCTTTTCTTTCAAGCTAGAGGACGATTCTTACCCGTTTAAACATTTCTGTAAGGCCATTAGTCTGCCTTTCCTTCCACACCGAGTTTCATAGAAAGAGAAAATGAAAGGAAGGAATGATGTGCCTGCTCCAAGCTCTCATCTTTGGCAGAGAAAAGAGAAACTTCCCAATCAATGAGGGAAGTTTCACAGGCCACTTCTTGAGCTAGGCTATTGCTGGCCCTGGGTGGTGCCTGGATGGATATTTCATCAGAACCTGGCTCTCACCACAGACCAGCAGGTACATTCACTCATGCACCAGGTTGCTATATCAGCCAGTCCCATGGGACATTTAAACCTATGACTGGAATCCAAATACCATGCTTGAAAATGTTAGCCTTGTGTATATTTTCTCTTAAAAAATAAATAAATATGCCTAGGAGAAGTAAAACTTTCACAATAACAAATATTAGCCTAAATGAAGGAAAAGTGAAATCTTGACTCAGAACATTTGCCCCTTTCCCTTCTTGAGTCCTTCATTCTGCAGCATTCTAGTAAAGGTTGGGGGTAGTAGGAGTGGGTACAAGCAAGGCAGAGGATACAGACAGCCAGGGAGCTTCAGGGTAGACTTCTACCTGGTGGAAACCCATGGAGCCACAAACCTGCAGAATCAGATGTGAGTGCTTTCACTAACAAGCAGGCATCACAGAACTTTCCAAAACAATTTAAGGAAAGATAGGCATTGTCTTCTTCAAGTCAAACAGGTGATCTGCTAGGAGGCAAGGGTCTCCTCCTTCCCAGGCTCCTATGGCTTTGCCCTCACAGCGTTTTGAAGCCAGTGAGCCACAGTATGGAGATCTAAATTCTTTAAAAATTTAATGGTCAAAAGATACTTGTGTGAACCATAGGGAATGAACTTCAAGTGCCTTTGATGGGAGCCAGGGAGCTTCAAGAAAGGAAATAAAGTGTCACCTCTTTGTTTTTACATTCACACTGTGGATATCAGTTAAGCCAGTCTCTGTTGGCCATTGGATATACGTGCTTAATATGAAAAACAAGATGAGTTTCCTGGGGCACAAAAGAAACAAAAATGTAGCCATCATTTGATTCATTTTTGAATTTGTGTAGGAAGAAAATCTTGATAGGATCCAAAGTAGTTGGGATGTCTGCCTACATTACCCAATTTCATTGCTTTCCCTGTAGAACTGGCCTCAGATTCTAAACAGTTGGCATTTAAATAATGTCAAAACATTAATTGTGATTTTAATCATCTGAATGACTTCCATAATTGAAAACTACTTTGAAACAAACATGGATGTTTTGCATGAAGCTTCCCTAGTTTTGGCAATCAAATTTTTCTACATTTGTTTCTATCTCACAGATTCTGTGGGAGATAAAAACATTCAGGCACACTTGAGTGTCCCTCCACCTTTGCCAGACACTCACACATCTTGCTAATAAGTAGCTCTGACCTCTCCAGTGAGATTTAGGAGGAAAATATTAATATATCAGCAGTAGGATCTATTGATAGTCTATCTACAAAGTCCTGGTCAGTAGTTTACAAGCCAGTTTACAAAAGTTGTGCCTATTATGTTGAGAAGTCTCACCACTGTGCAGTATTTTGCTTGTTTGTTTTTTCCAAAACCCTGTCATCAGCATTGACCTGCATGCCTACTGCTTAGAGCTAACTTCCCCCTGCTGATTGAACCACCAGCATCAACTTAGCATTTGTATCCATCTTTAGGAATGTTACTGTCAGTAATTCTAAGTACTCCTCACATCCCTAACTGCTTTTATATATTTTTGTATAATAGGATCTGGCAATTACAGTAAGCCAGCATGCCTCCATACAGCCTGCTATAATCAACCAATTTTGACCTGCCCTTCTTGTATAAATAATGTAATTTTTCCTCATCAAAAAGTACTTAAAATCATCCTGCAATGTCTGACTCATAAGCAGACATGTAATGATGTTTAAAAAACAAGTGAGTAAACTGTGATGATCATTTTGAACGCTGGTCTCTACTCTCTACATTTCTTATGAACTCTGGTATAGTTGATACACATTTGGGGCATTTATACAC